TTGAAAGTTGCTGAAGTAACTTGACTAAGTTACTATCATTGGGATTGTAACAATTTCCAGGGCTGGGAATTTTTTTTTGTGAAATTGAGCCAGTACTTTTACAAAAAATACTGACTTCCCCTTGGAAGGATAAAAGCCCTTGCTGATAAACATGTGGTAGAGGTACAGAGGATGATGATTTACATTCCAGGCAGGGATCTCACTGAAAACAGAATCAGGAGCTGTGAAAACACCATAGTTCCACTGCTAAGATGATGGCCAACAGGCAAACCAATTTGCTTTTTCCACAGAGTGACAGCCTGACAAATCACCAGCTCTTTATTAGATCCTGAATCAAACATCTGAGGCCAAAGCATTGTAGGCAATTTTAGTAAGCAGTAAATTGCACACTGCTAACAAAAAGTGTATAAGACTCTATGGCCTGACCAGTATAAGGGGAAACTCTCAAAGGGGAAAAGAAAATTATCTTTTCTCCTTTTTCATCTTATATACCTATATATCGTCCTCCTGTCACTAAAAAACACTTAGCCAACTGAGCCTGAAGAGCCATTAAGAATCAAAATGAGATCCATCCCTGAAACTAGCCTATCTTCTTCACCGTCTTGATTATTTCCATTTTCCCAGTCCTACATAACCTTTACAAACTCACCCATCTTTTAGTTTTTCATGAAAATTTCTTTCCAGAACAAGATTACAACCTGCTGGTGTACAGAGTGCATCTGAAGACATTTTCATAGCAGAAGAATAGGCAGGCTGATGGAATAACAGAGAATTTTAGAATCCCTTTACCATGTTTCTTCCTTTGAAAACTTTGGCACTACTTTGATATCATACCCCTTCTCCCTTTGTCTCTAGACTGGCAGGTTCCTGTCAAAAGCTGTGGCTCTGTTAGTTGCTGGGAAGAGCTAGAACACTTTTGGCACAGCTGGGAAAGGTAATTACACTGTCACCACTTCTGACTGCTATGGCAGTGCCTCAGAACCACAGCACATTTCCGTTAGTAGAAGAATCTGCTAAGTGAGTCAGATACTTCTTTGATTCACACAAAAAGAAGGCACCCAGAGTGCTGCTTCCTTTCTGGAACACCAGTCACATAGTAAAGGAAAATAGCACTCCATATTTTAAGTGTTCTTACTTTTATTCTCTTTGGAACACTTCAGCCAACAGTGCTTTTGCTTGGCTTTTAAGAAAGTCACAGTGCTGGTGCTTCTTTGCTGTTTTTGGCTTTCCACTGACCTCTTGGTCAGCTCCTGTGACAAATCTGGGCTTCTCTGCCAAAACTTGCAGGAACACTTTTCTCCACACACAGCTCCCGTGGCAATGCCTGAGGCTTTACCCTCACACTTAGCCTCTCACCTAAGCTCTGCAGAGCCTGACCTGCTTTGCCTCAGATGCTGTTTCAGCTACTTGAAAAGGAGCATGTCTCCTTGTAAAATCTATTCTGAACAACAAGAGGCCACTGAAAACACAACACTAGTTTTAGCAAAATTCTCTGCTACTCTCCCTGTTTCCTTCTCAATTACAAACCTTTTTGTGAACATCATTTACATCAATCATTCACTTTCTGTGCTCCACAATAACTGCACTGACACAGGCTGGGGCAGTGGCCCATCTGTGAGCAGGACTATCAATATATCCTCAGGAAAGAATGCATGAAACAGGCCTGTTAATGAGATTATCCCTCTCCAGCATTTCCCTGTCAGATTGCAGTGATCTCCGGTTCAGGGACTTTATGAACTTAAGTCTGCATATGACTGATAATATTTAATACTCTGTTTCTTCAGGAATCTGTCTAGATATTTATTAATCTACTTATAATTTTGATGGCCATAAAGCTTGATAGTAACAAGACTTGCAATTTAAATGTGTATTGTGTGAAAAAAGCTACTTCTTTTGGTTTCAAATCTGAAGCTTGATAGTTCAGTTTCAGGCCTCTGATTCCTGCACCTTGAGAAGGAATGGATACTCTCCTATTTGCAGTATCCACCTTAGCCATGACTTTTTGTGCAGTGATCATGTCCCACAGTTACCTGAGCTGAGCTGAGACAAATGCTGTTCTAGTTGTTATATCTAAGGGAAAAAAAAAAAAAAGAAGCCCATTGATACCTTCTTGCCATGTTGCTTTGAACCTTCTCTTGTTTATGCAGCTTGGACAGTGAAAACCTCCAGTGCCAGTCTGCTCTGTGTTGCTTACATAATTCTGGTGGATGTCTTCCAATGCTAAGAGTTAGGAGATAAATGTTTGCTGTTAAATTTTTATAAAAATCCATATGCCTATTTTTATTTCATTCATTTATTTCAACTTTTTCCTCTTTTAAAACAAATCCTGGATTTCAGACAAAGCTGTTGAACAGAAGTGTTTCTGTAATTTTTAGGTCCAGCTTACTTTTCTGAACTCTATGTAGTTTATTTTAAGGAAGCCACTTGTCCACTTTCAGCATCATAAAAATCCCTGAGCTGATCTCCTAGGAAGCTTTCATGTCAACTGACTGGAGGTCTAGATTGATGGAGGCATGGGGAGGTCTCCAGGGCAGCAGGCAGAGTAACTTATAAAGACAAATGTCCTCCCCCTAATCAATTCTCCTGCCCTGCTACTGTCACTAGCCCCTGACACATTGGTTTTCTGTCAGATGGGCTCTTGAACCCTCATGTGGCTCACATAAGACTGGTGTCCTGATTTCAGCTGGGATAGATTTGGTTTTCTTCTTAGAAGCTGGTACAATGCTGTGTTTTGGATTCAGTGTGAGTAATGCTGATAGGAAAATGATGATTTGGTTGTATCCAAGCAGTGCTTACCCAAAGCCAATGACTTTACATTGTCTCATGTTCTGCCAGTGAGGGGGGGACACAAAAATCTGGGAGGGAGCAGGGCTGGGACAGCTGACCTGAACTGGCCAAAGGGATATTCCATGCCACAGCATGTATTGCTCAGTGTATAAACAGGGGAGTTGGCCAGGAGGGGCTGATCACTGCTCAGGGATGGGCTGGGCACCAGTCAGCTTTGTGTGAATCACTTATCTGGGGTTTTATTTCTCACTCTCTCCTTTACATTGCAATTATTATTGCCATCTTTCTTGTTATCATCAGTATTATATTTTACTTTGTTTCAATTATTAATCTGTTCTTATATCAACTCACACATTTTACTTATTTTTCCTCATTTTCCTCCCCATCCCATCAGAGGGACAGGTGAAGTATGTGAGGACTGCATGGATTTAGTTACTGGTTGAGGTTAAGCCACAGCAACTGGGAAGGGTCTCCATTTAGGTCAGCTCAAGGAGCACTGACTAGCTGGTGTAAAAAACAATCTTTCCATGGAAAATGCCAGACAGAAGCAAATGAGAGGACATGGTAATGGAGTTTGAGCTGTTGGACCTTAAGATGGTGAGTGAATGCAATTCAACAGAATAGAGGAAGCATAATTTTCAGTCCTTATATATATGATGGGGAGAGAGAAAAAAAAAACAGGGAGAAAGAGAGAGAAGCTTGGGCTTCATTATTCCTTTCTGGAATTTTAAACTTTTCTTAAGGTAATGAAAGTAAAAGTTGTGTTCAGTTAATGTAGCAGAAGGTGAATTCCACTGCTGAATTGAATGTCAGGCTCATCCAGAGCTGACAAAACAAGAAATGCAAGGTATATTTGAGGTGGTCCCATTAAGAAGAGTGGATTGAATAGAGGCCAATAAATAGAACAAAGCTTCAAAAAGACAGCAAAGCTTTATACAGTTGCAGAAAGAAACTGATTTCAGAAATCATTTGCTACCATGAATTGGAAGTACCAAATATAATATAATCACAGTAGGGGAAAAAAAATCATTGCATTTTCATCTAGAACAAAACAACTTCAGTAATTATATGTGTGGGCATTTCTTGCTAAGACTACAATCTGGATTTCATTCTTCAATAGAAGAATGCCAGATGAAAGGAAACAACTTATTTAAAATTGCCCAGACAAGAATTACAGGTTTGACTCATTGACAGATTTATGTATTTTCAGCCTACAATTTTCCCGACATCTCTTTTTCCAAAGGCTGTTCTTCTGTTGCCATAGAGACTATTTCCAGTCTCTTCTCACTTCCACAGGGTCTATTCTGGGGGATCACCACTGCAGCTTCCCAGGCTACTCTGTGTCTCACGCCCAGGAGTAGCCAAGGGAAAACAGTAAAGCAGAAGATCTGCAGCCACACAATGCAAATTTGCTGGTAGCAGAAATACTTCCATTTTTTTTTTTACCCACAAAGCTGGTGTGTAATTGGAAGGATGAGCTACAGCCACCCACCACATGGAAATGTGGGCGTTCATCACGACTGCCACATCTACCAGGATGTTTTCTCGTCATTTAAAGGGATCTGTCACATCAATCACACTCCTGAATTTACTTTTTCCCTGCCTTAGCTGCGATGGATGCCATTAGAAATAATGGGAAAACACAAAGGATTGACTTTCGCTTGACTCCATCACCAACAGCCCTGAGCCTGCACACCTGGGGGAGCTGTTCGCCCGGCAGCGGTTTGAGCACCGACGCCCATGAAGGAAATGTCTGTCCCAGGCCAGGCCCTGGCCAGGCTCGGGCTCTCCCGGGTTTCACCTCACTTCACTCGGGGGCGCTTCCAGAGCCCCCAGAGGCACCTCAGCCGTCAGGAGAAGGGAGCAGGCCCTGTCTCAGGACCGCAACAGGTCCCATTGCACTCCTCCGCTTGCTCTTGTGCAGCGCTCGTTGTTTTGGGGGGGTCTTTTTGTTCTTTATTTCACGCCCGGTCCCGTTGTGGGGAGGGGCATTTGTGAGGGGGCCGCCCTCGGAGGCCGCCCTCAGGGGCCGCCCTCAGGCACCGCCCTCAGGCACCGCCCCCTTCGCGCCCTCGGCGCGCGCCGCCCCCCTCACCCCTCCGCCCCTTCAGGTCCAGGAGCGCGCGCAGAGTGACGTCAGTGCCCGCCCCCCTCCCCGGCGGCGCCGCCGCCGCCCTCTGTGATTGGCTCTCGGCGGGCGGAAGCGGCCCCGCCCCCGTGCGCGGGCGGGTTGGCGGGAAAGGCCGGCGGGGCCTGAGGGGTCTGTGCCTGACGGGACCGGAGTGGCCCGGCCCGGCTCGGCACGGCACGGCTCGGCACGGCTCGGCACGGGGGTCTGTGCCTGACGGGACCGGAGCGGCCCGGCCCGGCACAGCACAGCTCGGCACGGCCATGCAGGCCTTCCTCAAGGGCCCGGCCTCTATCAGCACCAAGCCCGTCGCTGCCAAGGAAAAGAACGCGTCCGGGAGCAGCGGGGATGGCAAGAAGGCCAAACCCATCCCCTGGGTGGAGAAATAGTAAGGGATGCTGTGGGCAGTGGGGGCTGGCCGTGAGGGGGGAGGCTGGCTCCGGAGGGTGTGGAGAGGTGCTTGGTGCATAGCAAAAGGGGTGGGTGTCCCCACCAGGGAGAAGAGCTTGGCTTTCCCTGTTAAGGGGAACTCCAGCACTGGGAGGGGCTCTAAGTGCCCTTTGTGGCAGGAGTCTTGGACATGTCAGCATGTGCTGCTTCTTCGCTGTGTTTTGGTGCATGAATGCATTTAATGCTTTGGTTTTTTCAGAAGCCTTTATCACAAGGTGGTAAAATATTGCAGTTCTGCTTTTAAAACCATCTCAGACAGGTGTTTACAACAAAAAGGCAAACAGCTTCCTGAGGAATTAGATCACTAATAGAGACCAGAGGCATTAGACTTCCTGTTGTGATTTTGATTTCAACTACAAAGTTCACTGTAATTCTCCAGTGCCTGATATAATCACAAGGGAAAATGTTGGTTTTTTTCTCAATTTCAGTTTCTCCCTGAAACTTTGTTAGCTAATAAATTTTATTTAATGTCTTTTTATTTAGTCGTCCCAAAAATGTGGATGAAGTTGCATTCCAGGATGAAGTTGTAGCTGTGCTGAAGAAGTCCCTGGAAGGTGCTGATGTGAGTGTAATGACAACATCTACCAATCAGCATTTTTAGAGAGACACTTGAGTCTGTGGTAACAAAAATTTCTCTTTTCCCACTCAGCAATGATTGTTTTTATAGTAGTACTTCATGAACAGGCCAAGTGACTTCCTCATGACATATCCTGTGTGATATCCTGTTGTGATAGATGTGTAAAGCTTCTTGTGTTCCTAATCCTCTGAACACTGTAGAATTGTAAGTTCCATGATGCAGTTTGGAATTTGTCTGGAATAGCTCAAATAGTAAACTTCTTGTTAATAGTTTCAGACCTGGAAAAGCTTTTGTTGTCTCCACTCAGCTACTCCACTAGTACTTGTGACATTCATGTTTAAGACAAGAGGAGAAAGCTTTTCTTTCACAGACAAGTCTGGATTGCCAGTCACTCCTAAACATTTCTAATGATCTGTCAGTGCTTCTCTGAAACTGCTGAACACTGAAAATTTTGGTTGATGAGAGAAATTTAATTTATAAGTGCCAGATCTGCTGCTTGGATAGTGATTCCCAAACTTTTTAGGTGAAAGTTTCCAAGTAAGGCTCTTTGGCTTTAAAAGGTGAATATGGCAGTTGCAGGGTTGGCCCGTGTGTCCTAAGAGAGTAGATGAGCAGGGCCTTTGTAGCTGCATTTGTTTACTCTTGCATGTGCTTTTGGGTAAAATTGTAGTAAATATTTGGTGTGTTTGATGATTATTTCTTCCAAAACAGCTGATGTGGATGTGAAGGGCTGAAGGGAGAAATAAAGTACCTAGCCAAGAGATGGCTCTGCTTATTTCCAAATCTGAACAATTCCTTCTTTTGCATGTACTGAGACTTTTTTCCTCCTCACCCAGCACAATCCCACTTCAAAAGCTGTCTGTTTTCATGGGCTGCAGTTTTGCTTTGCTCTGCAATGATATGAGTCTGTTTATCTCTGAAAATAATAATTTAATCAAAGCTTGCAGAACAGATGTACCTTATTTGTCTGAGCGTATGAAGCCAAAATCCAACAGGTACAACACAACTGCAAAAGATTTGTGCTTCTTTCTTTAGCTCCTTTCTCCCTTCAGTTTGCTTTGAGAATGCTCTTGTAACGTGACCTTGTCTGGTAATGTTGTACCCCAGAAATCTGTGTTTCAGCAGCAACGCTGCTGGATTACAGTATTTATAGAGGTGAGGTAATTAGGAAGGAACTGTTAACAGCAAAGGAGAAATGAGCTGCTGCCACCTATTCTGTCTGGACATATCAGTTGTGTAACATTGCTTAGGTGATGGGTTGGGAAGTTCTATTTTGAGCAACAGTTATTTAAAACCCTACAGCTTGTGGATCAGCAGTGTTTCTTGGATTCTGAGCCTAGTGCACTTGTGTTGACTTTTGGCCTCCTGAGCTGGAAAGGAAAATTATAATTCCTCCTTATGGTTAGAGGCTCTGGGTTTTGCCATAGCTACCCAAAGTCAGCAAGGCATTTGAGAACAAATGCAAGTACTTAAAAAAATTGTGGTTTTTTTTTTTTAATTTTGGCATTTTTGTTAGTTTCTTGAAAGGAATCATTCTGTCAAAGAGGCAAAAGTGTAACTGAACTCTGAGGTGGTTAGGAGTTGCTTCAGTAAGTACACGTTACTGCCAAGGTTCTTACTGAGTTTGGTGATCTGGTGAGATCAAAGAAACAGTTGTGACAATGCTGCAGGTTTGGGTAATGTGCTTTATTTAAACCACAGTGTTGGAAATGGAAAGTCAGTCCTCTGTTGATTGGCCTGCATTTGTGGGCCTTTATTTGGGAGCTGCTAAATGGAGCAGGACTTGCAACTCCCTATAACTAATACAGGATTTGTGACTCCCTGTAGCCAATATACCTCCATCTGTAAGAGCACACAGCATCCTGTTATAAACTGGGGACAGCGGAGCCCAGGGGGTTAGAACTGGAGAAATTGATTTCTGTCTGCCAGGAGTGTTGATTTGTAGTTGTTTTTTGGCCAAGAAACTGAAAACTGTCATGGTATTCTTTAGTTTCTGTTTGCTTCATGATACCTTAATAATTGAAAAGAGAGTGTAGGATTTTCATTGCAATTTACATCTTCACTTGTACTGAAATTTCTGGAAAAGCATCTGAGATTTGCACTATATGAGGTAGCTTTCCCAGGAGCAGAGTGATGCCTGCAGGTATCCTGCTTACTCCTGGCAAGCATGGAAAAGTGGATAACCAGATCAGGTTGCAGTTTATTTAAAAATACTGCCACAGTTACATAAAGGATTAGGTTGTGCTTGGTGAAAAGTGGTGTAAATACTTCAGTGAGAAACCAGCATAAATGAGGTTGAAACAGAAACAGTGATGAAGTTGTGGTGTAATGGAATTAGGAAACATTCTAATTAAAACCTTTTACCTGCTTATGCTTCTTTTGAGGACAGTAGCATGTGAATTAGCAGAGAGGCATGAAATTATGAATCTCCTCATGAACATCTGCCCTTGCAATGTGCCAGCCTAGCACAGAGCTTGGTGAATTTTCAGCTGTCATTCAGTACACTTTTCATCTCTCTGGCTGTCACAAAAGAGAGGGATATTGTGGTATCTAAACTTGAAAAGGTGTTTGTTAGTAGGGGATGCTGTTTGCTTATTAGTCATTAGAGAAACAAGCAACAATTGGTTGGCAGAAAGAGCAGGCAAAACTTGAAATTCATTTATTTACTAGAAATTGATTGAAAATTGAAATTCTTCTATCTCTACTTTTGGGTACATACACAGTTGAGTCAGTGCATTGTGTCTTGTCTTAGTTGTTAGAATAGAATGTTTGTTACCAAACTGATTGTCTCTGTTTCATTTTCTGATTATGGGTTGTATATTCCTGCATTTTTCTCTGCTCTTTGAATGGTTTTGGTTTTGCTGTTCCCATTCTGTCTGCATTACATGCTATATTCAGCATAGAATTCTCTAATCTAATTTTAGTTGACTCTTTAAAAATAGAATGCTTATTAAGGGCTAGAAATCAAGTCAGACTGAGAGGTTTGTCTTGATGCTATTGGTTGGAGGGAACTTTTGGATTCTTGTTTTAAGAATGTAGAAGTGGAACATCCCCTCTTGCCAAAGACAGAGGTTTTAAAGTGATAATTTATAAAAGTGATTCCTTACAATAGTAATATAGAAAACTATCACTCCTATGTCAGCTGGAAAGGTTCTTGATTTCAGCCAAAATTCAGTCATGGCTTATACAAATTTTGTTTATGCCAGCTTTGTTCTTTGTGTTGCTCAGGAGTATTTATGAAGATCAGTCATATCCCCTCTCAGCTTTTGTAAATTTAGCTCTTCTAAATCAAACTCTTCAAAAAGTCACTTCTCATAAGATAGGCTTTCACTTGTTAATAATTTCTCCCAGTTTGGATTCATTATCCTTGTCTAAGGATGACTTGAACTGTGTGCAGCTCATTACCTGTTAGTATTAATAATTTACATCTGCATTAAAAGTGCACAATTCAGACCACCATGTTACACAGGCTTATACTGCTCCTCTGACAGACAAAACAAAACCAGCTGATGTTTCATTCCATCTAATGAATTGCTGATATTTAGCAGATGCTTTGTTATGTTCTCAAATCAAGAGATATTTTTGCTTTGTGCTGCTAAATGTCATCCTAAAATTATTGCTGCAGTCTTTGCTGTGCTGCTCTGATCTTCCTGTGTCAGCATATCTCCTTAATGCAATTGTATTTTTCATGCTGAGATCTTTAATTCAATTATTTTAAGGATCAATTAACCTAATTTCTTTGTGAAATGCTAGTGCTCTCCTTTGGAAACTCCTTGGATGGGTGCAGGAGTTTGCCAGGGCTGTGCAGTGCAGGGAGCTGGTGGCACTGTCCCCACTGTCCCTGTGGGACTGTGGCAGCACTGCCCTTGCTGCAGTGCAGCTGGTGGCAGCACAGAGCCCTCAGCCTGGCTGGGCAGGGCAGGCTGGGGAGCTGAGAAAGCAAAGGATGGTTTCATCTGCACTGCTGCTGTTACCCAGGCTGCTTAAGGCCATTCTTGGATGGATTTGGGTGTCACAGCAATCAGTTCAGTAGGCTCTGTAGGCTTTACTGATCTCAGACATGCCCTGGAGTGTATATATAAAAATAAATATAGATTGGAATATCAGTTTGGATAGAACATGGGATGGTGCCACCAAATAACACTTGTTCATGTTGTGCTAGAAATGGCAATTGTTTGTCCTCCTTTAAAGACCAGAAGAGAAAGACTTGCCATTATTTACTGTGAGAAATAGTTTATGTTCTGTTAGGTGCTCAGATTATCAGTAGGTTTTCCTGTTAGTGGATTTTTTAAATTTCCTTTTCTTACAAATGATGTGTTGCTGTTTCAGCTTCCCAATCTGTTGTTCTATGGCCCACCTGGAACTGGAAAGACTTCCACTATTTTAGCAGCTGCAAGAGAACTGTTTGGGTAAGCTGGAATCAAGTTGCTTCAGTGTAATCAACTGTCACATGTCTCCTAATCATGTGGTGAAGTGCCTCTGGTCATAGCCTGCTCTTTGGTAGTTCCCAGCAATTTTTCAGGAATATCTTCATATTCTAATTCAACTCTAACATAAGATTTCTTTCTCATTTGTCATATCAAAAATCACCAATTCCTATTACCAGGACAGACTCCACACTGGCAGCCATGTAACCCCCTAACAAAGACTATGGAAGAAATATGGTCTGCATATGATTTACTGAACTCTGTAAAGGAATTCCAATTTTAATGGTTTATTTAGTAAGTTGTTAGCTACACATAGATCTCAAAGTGCTTCATAAAATGTCTGACTTTTAATCTCTCTGTTATGCACCACTGAATTGTGTCTGGAAAGTAGTATTGGGACTCAGACTAAAATTCAGCATGTATACATTAATTAACTCAGTTGTAACACTTAAGAGTTTTTGAATAGCAAATTCAGTGATCTATAAGCAAAAGATGGATGAGAAGGTGGTTTGATGTTTTGATCAAATGTAATGCTGAATTTAATACCTCCCCCATCCCATTTGTCATCTTAAATCTTTGACTCACTGTTTTTTCGGAGAGAACCACTTCTACTTGAGTAGGAGGAAGACAACTCCACATTGTGAGTCCATTTTAATTCCCAGGATTTAAAATCCAGTGTATTAATTGTTGGTTTGGTTTTTTTAAATGGAGTATACTGCAGGTGAATACTGCATGTCTTCTACTTTCTGGATATTTCATTCTGCTAGTACTTCTAATGAGTGTATTGTGGCATTTTAATTGCTATTTCACATTGCTCACGGGCTGTAAGAAAAAGGCATATAACATAGTGCTCTGAGCATATGAAGCCAACTTCCTACTTTTTTCTTTTTTCCTGGTTAACTGATATAATTTTATACTTCATTGTTTTCAGTAGCCTGGGAGGAGCTTCTAAAAATATCTAATGGAAATTCATACTTAACACTTTATGATCTCAACTTATGTATCTTTTAACAATGTTATTTAGTAATGCTGATAAAAATAAACCCTGCCATTCAAAACACCCAGAAGGGTTGTTGTTATATTTTATAACACACCATTACAAGGGTTAGCAGCTAACGTGTGGCAATAAAAATTTTGCAGGCCTGATTTATTCCGGCAGAGAGTCCTTGAGCTGAACGCGTCTGATGAGCGTGGGATACAAGTGATCCGGGAGAAAGTGAAGGCTTTTGCTCAGCTCACGGCGGCTGGAAGCCGTTCAGAGTAAGTGCTGGATCAAACCCCTCCTGCTTAGGACAAAGCATGTGGTTGTTTTTGTTTCTAATATAAATGATGGGTCAGCACTGCCCAGAAGTTGGCAACACGCGGTGCTTTGGCTGAGCTTTTACTTAGAGGAATTTCACATTGGGGGTTTAAATACCCAGGAGGATTTTTACTGTTGCTGTTAGCATTGGAGGCAGACAGCAAAAACTCCACAAGGTCAAGACTTCTGGGTTTGGGCACATCTTGTTGCCTTTGCAGATGTTGTCTGACTGCCATAGAAAAATTTCTTTGGGTAAATTGTGCCAGAAGTTACTTCCCTAGTCCTTCTAATCTGCAGAAATTTCTACAGCATAGGTGTTGGTTTCGAAAAGGATTCTGGTGTGAGGTGATGGGAAGCTCAGTGCAGGTCAAGCCATGTGTATGGCCTGTGGAAAGTAGCAGGAAGAAACTGCATGCCAAGACAGCCTGACTGATTCCAGTACAGTATTGTGTACTGGAATCAGTCTGTTGAGTATTCTTGGGAGTTTAGGGAATTAGGAAGCCTGTAAAAAGAAGAGCTACATAAGGTGTTAAAAGAAGCATCTTAGAGTAAGAGTATGTGTTTTAGAGGACTTTTGCAGTATTCAAGTGTTGGTCTTTTTATGGGAACTCACTCCCTGCCTTTATTACAAATATTAGTCTTTTATCTAAAAATAATTTTAAAAATATTGAACCTCTGAACCTGTCCTATTTTTCAGAGATACATGCTTAAGTAAAATATTACTTTCTATTTGCGGTGATTTTTCTGTGTATGTTTTTCATTTTTCCCCCTTTGTCTGTACATTTCATGTCTGCTGAATAACAGATTTCTAATTTTCAGTGGTAAAATGTGTCCACCTTTTAAAATTGTGATCCTGGATGAAGCAGATTCTATGACTTCAGCAGCCCAGGCAGCCTTAAGACGCACAATGGAAAAAGAATCTAAAACAACACGTTTCTGTCTTATTTGTAACTACATCAGCAGGTATACCTGGAATTTGTTGCTTATTTGGATTTGCTCTCTGGTCTGTAGTCTGTTTTTTATTTTTCCCCTGCTTAAAAGTTGATATCTAATTTTTCTACTTTTCAGTTAATAGAGAGGTCACTGTATGCATGCAAGCCTGAAACAATACTTAGATTTCACTTTTAATATTTATAATGTCGCAGTTTTAGGGTTATTTAAACCTTAAGATTTTCTGCCTTTGTTAGCTTTCTCTGTGAGAACTTGACCAATGCATTTGTTTACCCCTGTCCTTCCTTTCTTTCAGAATAATTGAACCTTTAACATCTCGATGCTCCAAATTCCGCTTCAAGCCTTTGTCTGACAGTATCCAACAGCAGAGGCTGCTGGATGTTTCTGAGAAGGAACATGTGAAAATCAGTAATGAGGTAACTTTGTGGTTGCCATGTAATTTTGCTGCTTAATCCAGTGCATAATTGCATGGCAGCAAAAGAGGCCAAGTCAGCATACTTTTCCAGGCTGCTCAATTGTATGAAATAAAATATATAAACTCATTTATTCTCCTTCCCTAGATGGGATGAATTTTAAGTCGTCCTAAAACCAGAGAAATATCCACCAGAGAAAAATGAAGCCAAACTGTAGGGCTTTTTGTTCTCTGCTGAGTGTACTGGCAGAGAACCATGCTTCTTTCTCAAACTGCCAGCACACATTTGTGTTAGAGAGGTTGTTTTGTAACTTCTGTGTTGTGCTTGGCCCTGACAATCTGCTTTATGCACTACTTGGTGTTTTAAAGTAACTGCTGAAAAAGTGTATTAGATTTTAATGAGCAGTGAACATTTAACTTAGCATTTTCTGACATTATTTTTCAGGCAGTGTCATACCTGGTGAAAGTGTCAGAAGGGGATTTAAGAAAAGCAATTACTTTTCTTCAAAGTGCCACTCGCCTAATGGGTGGGAAGGAGATCACAGAGAAGATAATCACTGAAATTGCTGGGGTAAGCTGTGCCTTACAGTTTCTCCTGGAATTACTCTGAAAAGCATTTTTCCTACCTCTATCTGCCATTGCTCAAAGTTTGGTTAAAAAACAGTTGTATACTCACCAGTATTGCAGCATAGTAATGATGCACTATCTACCAGAATTTTAAAGTCTGCCTGCTTCTGTACACTTATTACATAGCAGGTTTCTAATAACTTCTTCTGTAAATCATGGAAAACTATAAAACAGTCTTATAATTCAAACTGAATTTGAAATAATCTGCCCATAAATGCAAACTGTGGGTTTTGTTTTGTTGTTTTTTTTTTTATGGGAGAGTAGATTAGACCATTTTTTGGTGCTTTTCTCTATGTGTGTGTATAAGTACAGATAATTGCAATATTGGTTTGGAAGCACAGGGAAATGACTTTCAGTAGCAGCTCATTTTCAGCTTAATGTTCACAGTGACAGTGACAAGGATCTGCGTGGATCCTGCTTTTTAATGAAACAGCAGTGGTTTGTTCTAGAATGACAATGGTAATACTGAGAGGCACAGGAGAAACCTGAGAAAAAGTGTTTAATAAAACTTGTGTGAAGGTGTTCCTATAGCAACACAACACCCCTGAAGAAGGAAGAGGAGATTAGGACTTGAGGAGCTGAAAAATAGATGGGCTTTAATGATGGACCCACTTCCCATGAAGGTGCTGCAATCGTAGCTCATTGTAGGGGTTGGGAGGTTCTGACTTCGATGAAACCAGAGGCAATTGCTGCTGTGCAGAGTTTACAGAACAATTTTAAACAATTTTCACAGTGAAGTCACTGTTCAGTTTTGTGTATCTGTAAACCAGCAGGTATCTGAATAGATATCAGACATCTGAAACCTGGCAGAAATTGACTATAACAATAAGAAAGAGAAGCATGACATTCCATTGTTGAGTGAATAATGCTGGTTTAAAGCAAGGGTTTAAAGCTGATTTAAAGCAAGGGTTTAAAGCAAGGGTTTAAAGCTGGTTTAACCCAACTTCACATCTTCATAAAAACTTGAAGTTCTTGGTCATTCACAACTTCCATGACCCTGGAGTGATCTTAGTACAAAAGCTTCATAAAGAAGCTTTGAAACCAAACTGTCCAGGCACTCAACTGACAGAAATGACAGTGAATGAAGGGGGAAAGGGGCAGCTCTTCTCTGCACAGAGTGACATAATGGCATCTGTTGACTTTTTTCCTTCTGATTTATTGTCTGGTCTTGTTGCATTGGGCATTTTTTGAATTCTGTTGGTCTGTCACTGGAAATAAAACCTATTTGCTGTGTTGTTTAGGTGCAGAATGGTACAGAAAGCATTGGCTGATCTAACTGTTGAAGAATGTTCTCCTCTTAGTCAGTGTCCTGAATAAGCAGTTGGATTTAGGAAGGTGACTTTGACACTCTATTGTCCTGATATGGTTTTTGTTTTAATATAACCAGTAAAGGACAAATATCACAGCCTAGTTTTCACTTTTAAAATGTATTTAGTCTGTCACACATACTTGCTAGAAGTCGATGGGTGTGTAGAGGAATGAAATCCTGAAATGCCCTCTGCCATGAACAGTTTGTTAATGTAAGCTTCAACACCAATTTTAAATTTACAAAGTTGAAATTAAGAAATGTCTCTTCTTGTTACAGGTCATCCCTAAGGAAACAATTGATGAACTGCTATTGGGCTGCCAGAGTGGTTCCTTTGAGAAACTGGAAAAACTGGCAAAGGTGAAGTTCTCTTAGTGCTTAGCCTGGGTATTTTTCTCAGTCAAGGCCCTGTGAATCCTTTGTTCCCAGGCTACAGCTGAGGATCATTTGGCCTCAGTCAGTTTGTCTGCACATTTGGGAAGTGTCTTTTACCAGTCAGGACTCCCAGTCTTTCCTTTCTGAGGAAGAGCTGTCAAAGTTGCAAATGAATTTCCCTAGCAGTGTGTCTCTTGCTTTCTCCTGGGTTAAACTGATGTAGATCTGTTCAGCTGAACAGAAAAATAAGGTTGCACCAACACTTTCTATTTTCATAAACTTCTCTCTCCCTAAATAGCTTCATTGACCATTGTTCTCAATACTTGACATTTTTGTAACTGGGCACTACTTTTATTATTTTTTTGTCTTTAGTTGCCATGGGTTTTATTTTATTAAAAAAGCTTTGGTCTTACAGATCTCTCACTTCCTGAGACTAGCAGTGACCACATGAAGAAAATCCTAAGTAGGTGGCCCTTTAAAATGTGCAGGCTGTGAAGCTGCCATCTGACGCTGTGGATTCCAAGCCCTCCTAATTTTAGAATAGGATTGGACAGGTTCAGTGGAGGTTGTTAAATGTTTTAAATGTCTCATTTAATTTCTGAGATGTAAATTGTCAGGAGCTGGAAGAATGTTTGGACAGAACTACTGCTCTGTGCCTGCCTTGCTCATGCAGCCTGTCAGGGCTGGGTGCAGGGCAGGGCTGTGCACAGGCTACTGAATTGTCCTCTGCAATGTACAAGTTCCATACTTAATTGCAGTGCAGTCTCTCAGTTCAGACAGGATTTTTCAAGATTATCTTTCCAGTTTGCGGTGTTTCTGCTGCTGAATTACTTCCATTTTCCTCTCTCCCTGTGCAGAATCTCATCAATGAGGGGTTTGCTGTTGCTCAGCTTGTAAACCAGCTGCATGACACCATTGTGGAGAGCGAAGATTACAGCGACAAGCAGAAATCTGCCATGGTCGAGAAACTTGCAGTAAGTCTAGCTTGAGTAAAAAAACCAAAACACATTAATCTCTACAGATTGATTTTTGTTTGTACAGTGTCTCCCAAGAAGTACATGGTGAGTTTTTGTTCTGAATGTTTCTCAGTAGAATGTGAACTTCTGTCCTGAGAAATTAATGAGAAGGAATTGAAATCTAGTTAAGTGAATTATTATCCATAGTATGTTGTTCTAGTGGATTCGATCAAGAGGTTTGTGGGTTTGGTTGTTTTGGGGTTTTTTAATATAATGTGGAAGAGAATATTAAGATGAGAATAAGTCAGCACTTAAAAAAAAAAACTTAGGAGCTGCAAAATGGAAGTTTTTGTTCTGGTGAATAAAATATGCCTTTCCAAAAAAAGAAAGAGAAGATTTATTAACTTGCTCCATTTTTGATGAAGAAGGAAAGCCAGCTGTGGTGGAGGTTTTACCTAAGTCAGTGCAGCCAGGCAGGGGTGTGGATGCCCTGCAGTGATGCTCCTGGCAGGGGCTTGCAGGGCCAGTGCCACACCCCTTTGTGGATGGAGCTTTCATGTGGTGGCCTCCTCTAGGAGATTAGATGGGAGGCTGGAGAGCTCATGGGTCCCAGTCCAGTTGGAGGGGGTGTGATGTGGCTGCTGGAGAAATCTGTGCTGATTAAGGGCACAGCTGGCAACCTTTTGTTCTCCACTGTACCCCAAGACACAGCTGCCTTGAGCTAGGCCATTTTCAGAGGGTTTTCCCTCCTGTTCCCTCTGCAGGAAGTGGACAAATGCCTGGCAGATGGTGCTGATGAATTCCTGCAGCTGATGAGTCTCTGTGCCCTTGTGATGCAGCAGCTCACACAGAACGTCTGACTCCTCCAGCAGCCTTTTGTTCCAGGGGTGGCAGGGCTCTCAGAGCAGGGAGCTGTGTACTTTTGTACTGGTTTTGGGTTTTTTTTGCAATAAAAGGACTGCACTGCAGTTGGAAAACCTGAGGCTGGAATATTTCATTCAATTTTTTTACACTGGGTAAAGAGCACAGGGGTCTGTAATACTCGTACTGTGTAGTTCCTGTTGCACACTTACACATTCAAACAAGTTATTGGAAGTGAGCACATCCATACTTAAGTCTTCATCAGCTGCAAGCAGAGACAGGAGGATTAGTCCTTGTAGCCTGTATTGGCTTAGCAAAATGATCACATCCCTATAGAACACAGCTTCAGGCTGAACAGCCCACACCTCCATCTTCTACCTGATCCTTTAAACATAGCAAAAAATCACTTTACTGTCAAACAGATTACAACTTTAATTCTGCAAGATAAAAAATGTTCAGCAGTGGGTAGGTTGTGTTCTGAAGGTGTCACTTAGGCTTTCCTGTCATCTCTATTCTTGCTCACAAGCCATTTTAAAGCTGTGACCTGGCTAAGTATCTTTGGGACATAATCTTTCAGAGATGCTGTTTTGACCACCTGTCCCTCCTTCCTGACTGGCTTGGGAAAAAAAAATACCCTTGGACAGGTATTAAGCATAAATGATGCAGTGCAGCTTTTTCATCAAGCCAGCACCAATTATTATGTGAGCCATTTTCTACCCTGATGAAAGGGTGCTTGTTTTAAGGACACGGGTGCAGCACCCCACAGCTTGGTCACCGGGGCCACACTGGCACTTGAAGCTCAGCTGCTCTGGAGTCCAGAACCACCCCTGCAATTAATGACCAAGTACTGGAGCTGTGGGGCACAAGGCTGCAGCATTTTCCAACCTTCAGCTCCGACCCTGAAACAGTGCACGTTACTGTCACCCTCCCCTCAACCCAAGAAGTGACTATTTACAATTTAAGTGAATATAGAAGTATTTTATTGAACATTCAAACTTCATTAAGACATGTGCAATATGGCAAAATTTACTGGGTTTAACCCTAACTAAGACAATAGTATGATTGCTTGCTTGCTGGGGCTTAGCAACAGGGTCCAGATCACACTTACCACTAATTAAATACTTTATTGAATAAATACATATGAAACAAAAATGCATTTTAATGCTCTTATAAAAGTTTAGAGATTTTGAAAGGCCTTTCCAATTTAATCTGAGGTGTAAGTACATACAATAAAGGAAGGTAGGCTAGTTTAACATAATTGGCTGACTTTATACAGCACTTATATCTTTTAGTCCATAAGTAAATTATTAAATGATAAAGAACATCTAATACAACCACTTCTATGGAACTAGGAAATAAATTTCTAATAAAGAAAAAATTTACAGACCCCATGACTTTCCACCCAACCCCAACAGTCTAACCCTAAAGTGGACAAAGCCAACGGCCTTCCCCACAAGAGCTCACGACAAAAAGTCGCTTCTCTTATCAAAAATCTGTATTTCTGATCCGTAATGAGCATTGAGACAAGATTCAATATATCCCCGAAGAAAGAAGCACAATGCGCGTTGTGAATCGCCTATTCAGCAACAGCGAGCACTGGATTCACAACCACCTCATCCCGGGGACTAAATGAGATCAGCCACATTCATCGGCATCTCCTCCACTGTAGTATTGTAGAAAGTCTCAATGTCTCGCAGGATCCTCTTGTCCTCTTCAGTGACAAAATTGATAGCCACACCTTTTCTGCCAAAACGGCCACCCCGACCAATTCTGCACAAAAAGGAAACACATTTACACTCAAGTTAACCTCACCCATCTGCTTTACATGTCTGCAAAATCCATCCTTGACTGCTGTTTTTATCTGCCACTGGCCAGTCTATGCTGCCTTAAGGCCGGCTGGCACCCAAGTCACATCTGGTCAGGAAAACCAGCAGCACAGCAGTTCCATCCCGTGGCAGGCAGCAGGGCATACAGTTACTCTTTGGCTGAAAAGTAAGGTCTTCATTTAACGCCTGGTGCTGTGTTCTGAAGTGCCAGGTCAGTCTCTCCCCTCTGTTCAACTATGCACCCACCCCTCATGCATCTGCTCCCAAGCACAGAGCACACGCTGTGGGTTTAACAATCAAACTGTTACCAAGTTAATCCAGTAACATGGAACAGCACACTTGATTTCAGAATTTTAATTCAACCTAACTGTTTCCAGTGGGAAAACTTAGGGTTTGTTTCTTTTGCTCTAGAGTAAAATCCAAGCTCAACATTTGTGTTCAAGCCCACATCAGTCACTGACACATCAGTGCATGCGGTTTAGTTACACCCACCATGAGCTCCACCTTCCTACAGACTGCACAAGAGCACCTTGCCAGCACGAGCTAAATACACAGAAAGGGCTCACAAAACTTAGGGGATAATCATGACAAAATAAATAAAGAAATACCAACTCGCTCTTATTCAAACTGTGCCGCTTACGAATCCACGTCCTAAATTACGCCAACGTCGTTTCTGAGCACCATCTTGTGTCATCAACTGCTGCTATCGACTCCTGTATTTATTTGTATCAAGTAACAAAGCACAGTTTACTTAATTTAGGGACAGTCACTAAAAGCAGTTAACTAAACCTAGGGAAATAAACTGAAATTGCTACCAGAAGACACACCACAGAGAAGAATCCCGCTAAGGAGCCACCAAGAGCAAACATGGCACACACAGCTGAATCTCCACAAGCAGCCCTATAAGCTAGGAGTAAGGGTCTGTCTTGTCACTGAGCAGCAACAACTCATCAGCCAGAACCCAGACCAAGCTGACCCTGCTGTCAAGACACTGCACCACTAACAGTGTCACACTTTATGTCACAGCCTACATGACAAGGGGCACTTCAGTTGCTGGCATTTTCCCCACAACTCCATGGTTCATCAATCACTGAACCTGTTACATATCTAAGTTTTCCCACTGCTTGAAGTGTTCAAAAGTTCTGCTTCTCCCTTGTTTCAGAACCACTGCTGTGCAAGGCAGGGCTTTTTAAAAGCCAATCCACAAGTGGTAGTATTCCCTGCTAGCTCTGAGACGTTTAGCATGGATGCTGACACCTCTGGTTCGGTGAGGCCTACAGGATGAGGTGAGGAATGTGTGTGCCAATGCCATCCAGCGCAGCACAGGACTGACTGGGGGGCAGAGCCAACTGACCTGTGAATGTAATTCTCACGATTGGTCGGCAGGTCGTAATTGATAACCAGGGACACTTGCTGCACATCAATGCCACGAGCCTGCAAAGCAACACCAAGTCTTTAATACAAGTTAGGGGCTATTTTCAAATTTACGTATCTCAGGCTTTTGTCAACCACATCATTAGTTATGAACTACAACTGTGTAGTCCATAGTGGAGCATGGTCTTTGCTGTTCCAAAAAGCTTCCAACAGTTCAGGTTACAAAAACCATCACTCAATTATGAAGCTTTTGGGACAAGGCTGTAACAGGAACACATTCAATGGAAGACAATACTCACCAGCAAGTCAGTAGTGATCAGGACACGGCTGGACCCTGATCTAAACTCTCTCATGATAACATCCCGTTCCTTCTGGTCCATGTCACCATGCTGGAGAGTTAGAACAAAAAGCTGCAATTAGTACAGTTCCAATGCTCCAAACCAGAATGTTCTTTAAAGAACAAAGGCATGTATGAATCCCAGCGTCCCTACCTGCTGTGGCAGCTAAGCAGGTAGGGATAGAAAGGAAACATTTTACTTTAAGCAGGGGGAACGATAATACAGCACTGCACAGCTATATTATAACTTTCCTGCTTCTCACTGATATCCCCTCCTCGCCCTTTCTTCTCCAGTAAATACACAGCATTTCAGAACTCATTGGGAGTGGCAGTTCTTACCAGAGCTGAGACTGTGAAGTCCCTGGCATGCATTTTCTCCGTAAGCCAGTCTACTTTTCTCCTTGTATTCAGGAAAATAACAGCCTGTGTAATGGTCAGCGTCTCATACAAATCACAGAGTGTATCCAGCTTCCATTCCTGAGCGGAACAAAGATCATCAGGAAACACATCATGACACAGCTCAGTACATAACACGAACTTGAAACAAGGAATGAACTCAAATACAACAATCTTAGATTAAGCCTGCTTTGGCACACAACTACATTCAGTATAACCAGGAAACTAAGTCAAGTTTTTGCATCATTTGTTGCACTAAATCTTCAGACACAGGACACTGGACATTAAGAAAGAGGTCCACCCTAGTCCTTTTGGATCTAGTGCATAGTTTTTCTTCTTCTTGCATTTACTCTACTAGCATTATTGCAGAAACCAAAGCTCAGCCTTGGTTTCCGCAATTTTAGCACAGTGCTTTAACAAGAAGGTAAGAGAGCCTAACTCCTCCTGCCAGAGCAAGTGTAACCAGTACCAACCTCTCTCTCCACATTAATGTAGAACTGCTTGATACCCTCCAGAGTCAGTTCTTCCTTCTTCACCAAAATACGGATGGGATCTCTCATGAACTTTTTGGTCACTTCCAACACATCCATTGGCATTGTAGCTGACAGCAACACAACCTAAAATGTATTACTCCATGTTAGCACACAACCCATACAACAATTTTCATTTGTGCAATTCAGTTCTCAGCCACACCATAAGCAAATCTGCACGCATCAGTTTACCATGTGAAAGCTTTTTTACCTGGATGTTTGTGCTTAGTTTTTGAAAGATCTCATAAATTTGATCCTTAAATCCACGGCTCAACATTTCATCAGCTTCATCCAGAACAAACATTTTGATCCATTTTGGTGCTATTGGAAAAAGAAAAGCATCTCATGAAGTTCCAGAAATGCAAAATCCTTTAAGAACACCATGCTTCTGTACTACTAAGCTTTTCAGCACAACTCTCTACAGTGCCAACAAATTCACTAAAGCTCTTGGTGGGTTTGAGGCTTTAACTGGAGATGTATCAGTAAGGGCACCATGAGGTTCATACTTACAAAGGTAGCGCCTGTTCAACATATCAAACACACGCCCTGGCGTTCCCACCACGATGTGGGGAGCCTCAGCCTGCAGCTTCTGCATTTCATTGCGCACATTTGTGCCACCAATACAGGCATGGCATGTTGCTCCCATGTAGTCTCCAAGGGCCAGGATTACCTTCTGAATCTAAAATAGAACCTTCCATTAGTGGCTCACAGGACAATAAAGCTTAAGCCCCATTATCTCTGGCTTTCATGGGCTTTGGAAGCCTAGACACCAAATAAGGACTGTGGAGCTCTTGGAACTGAGAGCTGTTATAAAGACTGCCCAACTTCACATAACTCAAGTTGCTAACTAGAAACTAGAAGGCAGAGAACAGTTATGTTACATTTTTGTTTTTACTGGCTGAACTTGCTGAGTGAGTGACTGCCATGAGATAATTGCTGAGAGCAGAGCCACCAGAAGTGGGCTCAAGCTCTCAGGTCTGCATGTTAAGCACTGGGACACTCTCCAGTGAACTCCCTCCAATGGCACCACTACAAGCCAGGTTTCAAAACAAATCTCACCTCAACACCTTTAAAGCAGAAAAAGGCTTAACATTCTGGTAAAAGGCCTTATTCCTTTTTTTTTGTTTTCTGATTTCGTATTTTTAGCTTTACCGTGAAGAATTGTCACACAGCACTGGCATTTTAGTATAGTCCAGTTGAAAAATGACAGTAAGTTTTGTACTTTAAGAGTTGGTTCAACATTGCACTTTAAGACCTCTCATTACTGACACAGTTACCCTAAATATTCAAGCATTCTTACAAGTTATTACCACACACCCACTTAGAATAACAGAATACCCAGCCTTGAAGGTGAAAGACATGCAATTACACTGTCAGGAAAACATACAATGATACAAAACCATTTAAGTAACCAAATGTGCACTGCAGTTTTCATGTTGCACAACTGCTTAAGTTTAAATAGCTGCCAAACAAATGTATTTCTTGTTTCCACTCAGAACACTGTGCTTTAGTAATTGTGTTTTTTCTGCTGAAGATGCTCCCTTCACTTTACATAGAGCGTAACAGCTGCCTCCTGCACCCCTGCCCCAGCACACCCTCCATGTTTTTAACTCAGCTCTTCAAGGAGGCAGAGGACTTGTGGGACAGAAGCCAGTTTGTATCCCCCATTATTTGGCACAAAAAAGGTTCTGAATGGATATTTATTACAACCCCCTAAGAAGTCTGGTAACGTTGTCTCACAGTTGTGAAACCTGAAACCTGTGCAACACACAAGTTGTTTTGGTTTTTTTGTTTAAACTACTC